TTTTCAATTAAAAACTTATTTTATATTTTGAACTCTGGATAGGAAGCTTGGGGGATTTAGATCAGCTAGCTCAATTGACTTGACCGGGTTAAATTAATAGAGACACATTGCTTGTTCATGGTCGCAAACTCAAAAGAAACATCATACAAAAGGTTTTAATAAAAAAATTGTAGGTGTTCTTAAATGAAAAATCTCTCAAAAGTAACGACTTTATTATTAAAATTATGATTTAATTAACCACCTCCTTTTATTTTAATTTTACTGATTAACCACCGCGAAGCCAAGATTCATTCTCTCTCTCCATTTGAGTGCGATATTCTCTCTCTCTAGATTCACTCCCTCCTTTGGAGTGCGATACTCTCTCCCACCTGGCCCCGCATGGGAGGGACCACGTTAACAAGTTGGTGTTGAGTGCTCACGTAAAATACTTTTTGCATTGGAATGGAAGAAGGCAAAGCAGAATGCATTTGGTGGAGAAGAGAGATGATTGGACAGCACCACCTCTATTTTTTCAAAAGTTTTCGAGGGCGATGTGACGCGTGGCTTCTTGAAGCCTCTCTTTAGAGCGACACGAAGTTCACCAATCTCTTTGCTCTCTCTCTCTACAAGAGGGAATGAAATGTTAAGTCAAGCTCTCCTCTCTCTCCTCTCTCTCTCTCTCTCACACAAATAAATTAGATTACAAAAAGTAGCAGGGCAATGACCCATAGGGCATATAACAATCGAAAAATTATGGATACCTTCTAATATTTTTCATATCACACTCAATTACTCGATTACTGTTTTTCTTACTTTTATCCCTAGTATAAAAAAATCAATTCATTGAAAACTAAATTACCTTCCTCGCCCACTATCAATTTCTCTCTCTCCGCCCAATATCAATCTTTCTTCGCTTCATCTCTCTCCCCCCGTCCGATATCAATTTCCCTCTCTCTCTCTCTCTAAATATAAAAGTACGGACCGGCACAAAATGTGCCTAAGAGTATGTTAAAAAAATGTGCCTCATTTATACTTTTGTGCTAAACGGTATTTTTCATTATTTTTACCATGGTCAGGCAATAAATGAACGGGATAAAAAAAATTGGTAAAAAAATGCAGTCGGACAAAAATTGTTTCAAACTAGAAAGAAAGAGGGGGACATTTAAAAATATCAGTAGGAGAGAGTGAGAGAATTAAAAAGTAATTTATTCGTTAACGTATTAACTTTTCAACTGGGGTAAAAATAAAAAAAAACAATAATTAAGTTAAAAATGTGATATAAAAAGTATTAAAAGGCTGACCGTCTATAAAGTACATTCCAACTACATCGTGGTATCAATTTCTAACACTTTCAATTAACGCTTTCAAAATGTAACTCTTCAATTTATTGAAAAAAAGGTAGGAGCTTATCTTTTTCATTGAATTACCAAAAATAAAATAAAAAATAAAATTCCAAAAGGTATAATAAATTTTCCTATAATAATCACTGACAAGTTAATTTTTTTTTTATTTTAAAAAAATGGTATGATAAGGCTATAGAACTATCAAAATAAATAAAGCCTCATCTCATAATTCATTGGAAATTGCAATCCAACCATTGAAAAACCTCTAGATCGATCATTTTAGCTTGAAAAAGGTTTTGTTATTTTTTGTCAAAATTTCTAACCAGACATTTAAAAACCCATAATTGTGTTTTGAATAGCCTGCCCATTGCATCGAATTAGATCGGCTGAATCATAAAAATTTACATAAAAATATCAAGAGATAATATGAGGGTGATCTAGGGGAGAACCAAATAGCACATCCACCAAATCCAATCCATCAGTAATTTTTCAATCCGGATTACAGGGTTTTAAAACTCTGCTTCGTAAGAGTAGATGTTATCTTCTTATGGAAGGGGCGAAGCGAACATATAATCAGTTGTAACCGAACAGGTTAGCGTAGGTGTGCTGCTCTGTTAGAGCTGCAACTCAAATGTTGCACCAACGATGAAGGGATTGTCTACAAAGGCACCATTTACTTTTGGGTGTGGTTTCTATAAGGTTGCAACTTTAAATAAGCTAATTAAGTCGTACCTCCAAATTGTATCGTAACATATAATTTTGTTAAAAAAATTTATTAGGATTATCTCAAAACCTATTGTCATATCTAATTAGAAAATTTTAAATTCCAAACATGATTAAAATCAAATAGATCTATAAACATATGAAAATCTTGAAAATTGACGGTCTAAATAATGTGTTGCAAGATGTACTATTTATGAGACAAAAACATTTTTTTTTTCATATCCATATATATCGGTATCGAGATGATCAATTAGAGGTTTTTCCAATATTAAAACAACATTTTCGATAGATTTTTGAGGTGCATATGTAACTCAAAATCTGTTTTTTTTTTTTCATATCCGTACATCTCGATGATCAATTAGAGGTTTTTTCAACATTAAAACAACATTATTCGATAGATTTTTGTTGTGCATCTGAATTAAAATGTACAATTACAGATGCATCTCAAAATTCTAGTGAAAAATGTTGTTTTAATGTTGGAAAAACTTCTAATTGATCATCTCGACATCGAGATCTATGGATATGAAAAAAAGACACTTTTGTCACATAAATAGTGCATCTTGCAACACATTATTGAGATTGTCAATTTTCAAGATTTTTATATGTTTATAGATCTACTTGATTTTAACATTTTTTGGAGTTTAAAATTTTATAATTATATATGAAAATAGATTTTGAGATAATCCTAATAATTTTTTTCACCAAAATTATATGTTATGATACAATTTGGAGGTGTGCCTTAATTGGATTGTTTAAGGTTGCAACCTTATAGAAATCACATCCATATATATATAAAAGATGGGTTTTGTGAGGCTCCTCGACTTGGTGGTTTGGTGTATACCTTAAAATTCTTAATATTTTTGGACACTTAGATTCACTTATCATATAGTGTAGTAACTTTTTGTCTAGAGGTAATTTGTCAAAGAGTAAACTAAAAATTCTTAATAAAAACAAAGTCATTTATTAACAATGGTGAACAATGACATCACCGACATGATGTATAACATCACTCACAATATACATTAATTATCTTTTAACTATTAATATAATATCACTATTTGCTTATAGAAATATTCATTGTATCATTCTAAATAACAAAAAATACCTTTATTTGAAAAATTTTGTATTAGGTATACACCAGCAAGATTATTAACTTTTTAGTAAAAAGAAGTTACAATTCTTATTCAAATAAAACAATTCTAACCTATGAATTTAAAATCTAAGGGCCGGCATTAATTTCACCTCCTTGTATGGACTTCTTGAATTCTTTTCCTTTTTGAAATTGGAAATTTTAATGTCATGAACATAAATGAACCTTTCAATCTGAATGAGCATTTCTGCAGGATACGTACATGTACTTTACTAGTGTAATCCCGAGGCCTCACGTTAAGTACACTTTCCAATTTCCACGTAAAGCTCTCCTCCGTTTCACACTTGAAAGTTTCATGATCACTCCTTAACTTCCTACTCAGTCCACTAATTAGTGCCCAGACCGGCCCACTCCACTTTGATTAATTAAGACCGTTGCCGACCATGTACCAGTCTTCCCACACATGTACAACCAGTCCTGCACGTGTCAGTTCCGAGAGAAAAGAGACACGCGTCCGGTGATGAGGCAACCAGAGACTCCACATGACACCTGGCACGCGACCTGGGAATGCGGTCTTCCCGCCAAGTCATCGGGAAACAAGCCGGGCCACCACCACGCCGAACTTTGGACCATCAGGATATCGCCACGTGGCAGACTCTCCAAATTCCCACCACATCCTCACACTATCGGCCCGAATCTAAGATAAGCTTATTTCGCACTGGATTGGTTGACCTTTCCACTTGGCATTCTCCTATTGGTCCTCTGTATTCATGCACCTTCCCGCCCTGCAGTGGCGCGAAGGGAGAAGAGGGAGGTTTCTAGAGAGAGAGAGCAGACTGGGAGATGGTGTGAGTTTGGAGAGAGAAAGTAGAGTGAGAGACGCAAAGCTGGAAACTGGAGAGAGAGATAATGGGAGCGATGCAGAGAGAGGGAGGGGTGGTAGAGAGAGAGAGAGAGAGAAAGAGTTGCTGGCATGGAGTGAGAAAATGGTAGTGAGAGGGAGTGAGACGGGGTAGAGATACGAGAAGAGAGAGAAATAGTGGAGTGAGAGAGAGAGAGAGAGTGGAATACAGTCACTGTTGTACATGTGTGCCTGCTTTTAAGTATGAAGAGACATTGAAAGAGACAGAGAGAGGTTAGGGGAAGCAGGAGACAAGCATGTGGTCTGGGCTTCCTTTAAGAAGGTACAGAGGGAGTTGTAGAGAGAGAAAGAGAGGGAATTAATGGCAGAAACAGGGATGACAAGGAAACAAGCTGTCTCTGTGGATTGTGGTGTGGGCTTTCTCTAAAGTGCTGGGAAAGCTCCAAGAGTCTTTTCAGGGGAGGCCATTGCTATTCCTTTTTGGGGGTCACGATTCAGAAGAGGTTGACATGCAAGGGGGCAGTACTTTAATGGCGGTTTCTGCTTAGTGGTCGAGATTCAAAACAGGTTGCTTTTTTCTGTTACTTTTGGTATATGCCGTATATACTCCGAAGTTGAGCGGGTGGAGCAGAGAACCTCTGCTGTGTGCTGGAATAAACCTTACATTTCTCCTGTAGATTCATTGGCTAGAAAACCCCCATTTCCAGCTCATTTACTCCATTGCTTGTTGTAGAGAGAGAAAGGTATATTACAGGGAATTTCAAGTGGGTTTTGGGGCTTGGAATTCATATTCGAATACCAGAAGAGAGAGAGAGAGAGAGAGAGAGAGAGAGAGAGAGAGAGAGAGAGAGAGAGAGAGAGAGAGAGAGAGAGAGTAGAGTAGTAGTAGTAGTAGTAGTACGTAGTACGTACGTACGTACGTACGTACGTACGTACGTACGTACGTACGTACGTACGTACGTACGTACGTACGTACG